CAAGGAGGCGGTCATGAACTTTGTGACCCCTTTCCGGTACGACCACTTGAATGAGTGGAAAGGCAATGGAGACCTCAGGCAGACGTCCGTTGAGTTTACGATCGATACTGTAATTTGTTTTTTGTATGTTTTGAGGTTTCAATTGGTTTTTGATTTTGTGTCCGTTTTTTAAAGGCCGAGAAAATTGTGTTCAACATTGAGGCCCGACTTAATGGCATACCGGCCCGGAATGAGAAGAACTTACCGAAAGGCGTTCCCCTGTCGGTCGAGGGACAGGTCGACTCCATTATCAAAGTATTTGAATGAGTGGTGTGTTTGAGATAATTGTTTAAATGTATCGTTTTTTCTGTGTTTATAGGAAGCGACGGATGTTAACAATTTGGGGGTTATGTACGTCGGGTGGACGGCATACCTATAGGACAAACACAGCGTATTATCTCGTATTCAATCAAATTGTGTTCAAGTATTTTGTATTTAATTAATTTATGTTTAAATTATTTTTCTATGAATTTCAATAATTTTTTAACCATTTTGTAACCATTTTTCTATTCAGAGTTTATGTGATAATCGTTTTGTAATTAAGACAATAAATGTATTATAAATTACCTATAAATATACGATTCAATCATTTCTATGACTACTTAACTGTAAGTCATTGTACGGTAATGTCAATTAAAGTTATCGTTTGCCTTAAATATAAAAGTTTATTAATTCATTAATAACTAATAGTTTGGAAATTTATTTGAAATTTAATACTAAAATGGAATTTACCAAATTATTAGCTTGGTACTAAATTTATACAAATTTTAACAAATCTATTAAACAAATCTAATAGTTTGGATAATTTAATAGTAATTAAACACACGTTTTGTTCAATTTATTTGTTTTATTGATTTCCGGAAACTTTATGCGAATATTTTATGGAAACATTACATCAAATACTTTAATACTTTTTTGTTGAACACAAGTATTGATTGTTTTAGTCATAGATATAACAGTAAATTATTTGTCAAATCGATTGTAATTTAAGACAAGTTTTGAACTCAATATAAGTATAGCATTAGTGACAGAGGATTAAGATTTGAACGCAAATCCTATAAACAAAACTCAGATCTCGTATAAAGTGTACTCAACTTTTTGAATCAAAAATCAATAAAAAGATAGCATTTTGTAATGAAATATAAAAAATGGTTTA